AAAAAGGCAGGATATAAATAAATAAATAATCAGATGAAGGAACTGGTTAGATCACTCTCTTCAACAGCAACATGGCTACTTCCTCCACCAGCATGGGAGAAGGCAGCATCAAGTGCATGGAACTGAGAGGTGAAAGAATGTCAAATTGAATGCTGTATCTGCTCTCCACAATGGAGAAAATCCATTGATCTGATGTTATGGATTCCCAGGTGGAAAAGTAGGTTAGGCAGCCTTCAAACCAGATCTCCAAAGGGCAGGGGGACTAACCCACTGCAGAAGTCAAGGCGGCCTCTTGTCAGTGTCCAGCCTCTTCTTCTGTAGCTGCTGGAACCAAGAAGTGGCAGCACTCCAATGTGGCTGGGTAGGCTACTGCTGGCATACTAGAAAATGAAAACTGCCTACTGAAAAGAATACAGTATATATGTGAAGCAGGTTTGAGCACTAAGACATCACTGGTGGAGCATGGAGGGGGGGGACTGTTTCATTAAAACTATCCATACAAGCCTGCCCTTTCTTAAGATCATGATTTGGCATGGTTTGCAAGACACAGCAGCCCAGCATGGGTTATTTAACCCGTTAAAAGATGGAGTATGTATAGAGTGCATACAGCTATGTTCACGTCTATCTTGCATATCCATCACCTGCTTGGAATTTGTCATATCATGGAAATCCAGTAAGCATAAATTATGCAAAGGTTTAAGCAACCCGTGTTTAACCTACTCATTACCCAAACTTGCTGGGTTTGCACAACACAACTCAGCACAACAACCCTGCTCTAACCTTTGCAAAATGCACAACACAACAACCCAGCTCATAGTGGGTTAGCAACAGCCATAAGAATTAGACCAGTGAGTCACCTTAGTTGGATTAAGTGGATGGGTTAATCCATCCAAGAGGCTTCTCATACCTCATTGGCCCATACCTTATGGAACACCCTCCCAAGGGACATGTGTTTGCCCCCCTCAGTTGTGGTATTTAAAAATGTACTGAAAATGCATCTGTTTCGAATTGCTTTTAATTCATGTGCTTTATTGGTCATGAACTTATTTTATTAATGTTTTATTACCATGGATCTGGAAATTGTTTTCACAGTGACTAAACTATGATTTAATATAGCTAGAGAATGGTTATCTCACTGCAATGTATATTGTTATAACATTACTTTTTTTTTCTCTTTGTATATCTATTTTATTCGCTTTTTAGGCAAGCCTTGTCTAGAAAGGGTATTTATTCAAGTTGTACCTGGTCTTTCTACCAAGTAAATGCATTCATAAAGAAAAATGTTTAGAAGAATCTAAATGAAAAACGTAACTATTCAGCATGCACACATTGGCTATGCAGGAAGTTGTTTTAAGTGCATTTGCATAACCATTACACTCTTGTGAGGCGCTCAGTCATTGCATCAATTTTGCATAGTGCATTAGGTTTATGAACACCAAATGACAACAAGAATGGGCTGGCCTGCTCTGGTGCTGATCTGCCGAAATCAGCAGGATTCAGATTTCACAGTATAGTGATATCTATTATCATCTGCTAGTGTCTTCAGTTGTTATGGTGCAGAAACCAGTAAAAACTAGTGAAGTGGATTAAGTGAAATTGCATGCATGTGGAGTGACTTTCATTCATTGTGCAAATAGGTCAACCTAAAGTTCTTTTGCTCAGTCAAGTAGCTGCCTTCCAAGCCGCTTCTTATACGGTGTGTACACTATAGCTGTAATGGCACTACAGCTTCCCAGATATACAGGCCAAAGAGCAGGACACCAGATTCTACAGCATGATCTGACACTTAAGGAAGCATTAACCTTCACAAAAAAGGCACGCACAGAAGCTTCCAGGTCCAGATGACAAACATTTGTAAGAAAAGGAGGCCAACTGCAATACTATCATCATTTCAGAATTCTCCTATAACTTTCTATATCACTAATAGTATGACTTCAGGACATTCCTTACTTAATCTGAAATTTTATACAAAACACTACCAATTACCATTCCCCTCCATGTTATCAGTTATGAGGTTTGAAACCAAAGACTGAAGATGTAAAACTATAATTAGAGTTCCAGAAATTAATATATTAGAATGAATATCAATAATAAAATCTTTAGGCTTGAAATCATGAGGCCAACAACTCCTATCTCTATTTCTCTAGCTTCAAGGCAAGTCTGTCCACATAGCAGGTTTTTCCCACAAGATAAAGCCACAGAATCTAGACTGATAGTGCATTCACCATAGTGGGGTGCTTGCAGAAGAAGTAATTTCAAATGACTCCTGGGATTAGTACACAATAGTTTGGAGCGATTTCCTTTGAGTAAAACAGGCTAGGAAACCTAGTTAGCAAATATATGTAAATGAATGGGCATGCGTAGCAGGAGAAAGCAGAATTGCACTGACAGATCCCACTACTTCTCAGTTAAAAAATATGCATGCAAGTTAAAAAAAATGTGCATGCTGCCTGCATTATGTATGTGTGTCAGGCTCCATCTGTGCAATCCAGAACGCCTGATCTTCCCCTCCACAGTTCCGTGGCTTCACTCACCATGCACGCATCTGAGTTGTACTAACCAATCCAGACAATACTCAGCCCAATAAAATTCCTCTCTACCATCCTGAACGGTAAGAAACAAGTAGTTGCTGTACCACTTCATTAGTCAATTACATACCAATCACAATAGCAGCCATTGGCTAGAAGGCAGGAGCAAGCCTGCTTCTTACAGAGCAATGAGGCAGCATATTGCCTGCTAACCTCATCAAGTATCTCTGAAATTATAGACTCCAACACTCTTTTTGGACGCATGAACACATTAAGGAATTTAAGAAACTGCTGTGGGCACCACCACAAAATGCCTGATCTTCAGAATGACGCTTTGACATCTCTCTGCTATTTCTATGGGTCTTAGGTAGCATGATTCAGCAAAATCTTGTGTTTCATTTCTATTAGACCCTGCAGTATCCCCTTAGTAAAGGACTGTCTAATTCAGCTAACAGCTGGCAGATAAACTTTGTACTGGAGCATTCTTTAAAATACACTGATATATACAATCTTGTAAACTATATACATACTTCATGGAAACTAATAAATGGAAGGGGAAAAGGCTCTCTGAGTCCTTTGACAACTAAAGGGCTGATATTACTAAATGGGAAGGCTAAACACTTAGCTCCTATAATGCAATGGATCAAGAATCATGTAACAATTGATATATGAACAGGGGGAATATAGACAAAAATTGAAATTGATATTTATTTGGATATATGGTCTGCTTTTATTACATCATACATATAATTGCTAGAACACTGTATGCATTTCATAGAAATTCATGTACTTATATTTAAAAAACAGAAACATAATTGAAAAATTCAGAGCTTACAGATACCACATTTGGGACACCTTCATGGGTGCCCACAGGTGCTGGGTTGGAGACCCCTGAATTAGAGCCTTGCTTTTTCTTTGTAAATGAAAGCTCAGAATCCAAGCTAAGCCTTGCTTCTCAAGCAGAATGGCAAATCTGTGAAAGGAAAACAGACTGTGAGGAGGCTGGTGAAAGTGACCGTAACACCCTCACCAGCAGCATGACAGGCCAGGTAATTTATGCAGAAAAGCAGTGCTCATGAAGCTCATCTATTTTAGAACAACAAATTAATGATCAAAGCAGTGGTTACGCCATAATTTCATAGCCATGCTTTGTCTGAATGGATGCCACTTCTCCCACTTCAGGCCTTCAGTTCATATGGGATATAATTCCCTTTCCTGGCCAGTGCATTAGAAAGACACCACTGCCTGCATAGATACATTTTGAACAATTAGTTTGTCATAAGACAGACACTTGTGGAAAGTTTACATTTCCACTGTATGTCTGTGGAAAGTGTACATTTTTTCATGGCGATGTGCATCGCTTGACATAATGATTTTTGAGTTAAACACCTTTCTTGGATATTGGATTCACAGGCAGAACAGCAGCTTCTATATCTCAATTTCTCATCTTCTATATCTCAATTTCTGCTCTAACCTTTGCAAAATACATACACAAGTGCTTTAGGACAACTGTAATATTGCCCCTTTGCACTGGCAACATAGATGCTTGCAGCAAAACTAGCGCAACTCTAACTGTAATGTGCTGATATGAGCACACTGACATTTATGGCAGCTTTTACAATACTTTTATTTACAAATGTAGACATCATGCAACCACCCAGAGAGATATTATGTAAGGCAGCATCAGTTTCCCCTGCAAGTCTTTCACTTGCACAGCTCTAAAGCTCAGATCTTTCTCTCCCCTTGATGGCTGCAGTGCACCTCAAACTGCTTTCTTTCTGACATGTACCAGCAAACTGATATTAATCCCAGTGAGACACTGGAGGTATGGCCTGAATGGCACTAACCACCAGCCTGGACAGGCTGATAAAGAAAAGTGTTCCAGACATACTAGTATCCCTTCATCCATTTAGGAAACATCAACTGACCTTGATCACATGGCAAGGATTACCACAGTCCTTTATTTATTTATATTTATTATTTAAATATAAATAATTTATATTTATTTATATTCAATAAATTCTCATATTTCATACAAAACGTTTAATGGATGGATGATGGATGAAATGCATGATTTGAGCACCAGGACTCTTCCAAACAAGCACGCTCTCCTTACCCACAGCCATGAAATGGACATGGGGCCAAAACAGACTTTAGTTAAACAAGTGCCTAACAGTTATTACTTTTTCGTTTTATTCCAGAATAGACTCCTGATTAGAATTAAAGTGATGTTTAAAATTGTACTAAAATGCTTGACTATCTTTCCATCTTGTGGATTCTCTGTGCAGTTAAAAATATCTTATGCAAAATCAATATTCATTTATGTTTACATAATGCGCATCCTCACTGACTATTGTGAATTGAATCTGGACAGGTTTCACCATCATAATTGGGAGTTTGATGGTCTAAATATTATTTCTCTGTGCTCTGGTATCAGACTATAATGTTTGTTCTTATTTGTTTATTCCTTAGTGAATGAAGAGAAAGAGAGTACGTATGCCAGTTGAAAAAGCAAAGATGAAAGTACATCATCTGCCCCAGATCAATTTCAGTAATTATTTAGAAATTATTTCACAAACTCAATTGCAAAGTGAACACAGGCTCTCAGTAAGTAAAAGCTTTCCTAAACAAGTTAGAGTTCTTAAAATATATTTTGCAATCATCCACAGTAATTTAGGTATAAATATTCTAAATTGCGATATGTACTTGGTTTTCTTAATTACAGAAATGTGTACCTATCCAGAATTAAGTCCCACTGTATGTTTAGTAAATTTAAGTATGACAGCGGCATTAGCATAGGTTCACAAATCCACATTCTTCTGACTGTATTAACTTTTGGTTCACTGTTGAGAAGTTTGCCCTGTTGACACGTAAGATCCAGTTGCTACAATCTTTTGCACCAATGATAATATTCTGGTGTAATGTACTAGGGTGTCTTCCAGCACGATGAATTTCCCAGTCACCGATACTTTTTTCTACTTCCCATACCCAGCTACCTCAGTGTTTCCAGGGTATTTTGCCAAGTTCTTTCCCCATTCAGCTATTCGATTGAGGAACAGGTGTACCTTTCCAAGATGCTTGGATCCAGCAGCTGCCCAAACATGTCTCACAGTGGCACCAAACATGACCATGTTGAGTTAAAATCTTCAGCCACAGGGGAATCAACATGGTGCAACCCAGATTAAATTGCACAACCAGAGGCTACAGATTACTGCTTTTTCCTCACAGGGGTCACGCCACCATCACAGCTCATAGAGGAACTGTCCTGAATATTCAATCTGCAACTGCAGCTCTTCACATTATCCAAAAGGGGAGATGGTTAATCACCCCTCAAAAAGCTCTGAAACAGCCACGTCACCCAAAACTGGGTAGGAGCAACCTGCAAGGGTACAGCCCTTTGTACAACTTAACCCTGCTAGGTTTGGTCTACTGCAATTATAATCTCAGTACTTAAAATGCCACCAGCATATACTACAGGACTGCTTGATTGTGCAAGCAGGGCCACTGTATAAGCATAAAACTGTGGTCGCTACAAAGATGGATTGATTTAATTCAAGGCAATTTAAAACAGCAAGATTCCAATTAAACCTTTTCATATATTTCTTGAACACTGAAGACCCACCAAACCACCACACTTTGTAACTTAAGTACTCTTTCCATTATTTTATTCTAATGAGACTGTATCTCTTTGTCTCACTCTATGTATTTTGCATGTTTTCCCTTTTTCCCTATATAGAGAATTCCTTTAAAATAGTTCCATATAAGGTCTTCCTTACAAGCATATTCCTTTTGGTCTGAGGTTAACAGCCCAGTCCTATACATGTCTCCTGAGAAGTAAGTTTCATTGTGTTAAATGGGGCTCAGTCCCAAGTAGGAGACTGCACACTGGGCAATTCTGTGCCTTCTTTCTCATTCTTTCTCTGCCAGGCCCTGCCCTCACAAAAGCAAAGCAACAAATAAATAATTAAATCTGCACAACCCACAGGTCAAAGCAAGGTTTCGTATTTATTGTGACTACTTTAATTCAATGTACCTAGTGTAGATATATCAGTTTAGAGATCAACAGCACAGCTAATATGCTCATACCCAGATTATTTCATGTTAATCTAATTATTTAAGGCAAATTTAGTATATATATTTTTTCAAACTTAAAAAATCCAATTTTCTTAAGGAAATGGGGTAGAAATGTTATCAATTTATATCCACCCTGAACTGTCAAATATCAGCAGCAAATTGACAAATGTGAATGCAAAATATTCCTTTCTTCAAAGCCAATGATAATATACTGTCAATGCTTATCAACAATATTTTCTTCTTATCCTTCATGTAAAAGCAAGTTTATATTTAAATAACTTCTCAAGGGATGTCATTATTTCTTTTCAGTACAGAAATCCTGTCAATCGTAGAATTTCACAAATGTACATATATGTACATCCATCCAACGAAGCAATGGATTCATGCCACTAAGGAATTGAATATTAATGAAGTCATTTGATACACTGAATTGAAAGCAATTATCCATTTCCATCTGATTCATCTTGCTGCTACCAGGAATAATATCCATGTTCAACAATGTTCATCTACAAAACCACAAATAGAAAATTAGAAAGTTTTCAACACATTCCAAAACTATTATCTGGTATCAGTACAAGAGTTGGTAAAATGTATAAGCAGTATGTGCCAATTTCTTATTAAAATATTTGACGTGACTTGTTTACCAATGAGGCAGAAACTAAGGGGTTTGACAGGTATTTAAAAACAGAAAGGAATGCAAACATTCTTATTTACCTTGTCTTTCCAATAACATAGAAGATTTTTAATATCAAGATACTATGATTGTAACAGAATATACTTCTACATAACTCCAGAAATCTTAGCATGCAATTCAGTTTGTTAAGACTATTTTTTCTACTTGTCTTTAACTATATTCTGATGTTAGAGAGGTTTTTTTTTAGCAACATCTGCTTGTTTATTTCCATGTTTAAAATTGTAAACTGTTTTTTGTTCCTTGGCAGAAAGCAGTATAGAAATGTACAAAATAAAGAAATTTAATACCACCACCAACTGACAGCATTTATTTAAATCTTAATATCACCCATTGCAGTGAATGTTTCAGCATATATTGGCCCCTAAGTGGCAATTAAATGACTAACTTTGTGGCTAGCACGAGCTGAAACCTGGACCTGGCAAGTCAAGAGGCTTACAGTTGTTCATCTAGCATGACTGGATTTTTTCTCTACAACTGCTGCTGGAATCCCTTATTGAGCTCCACTTGGTCACCTCATGTTACTATTGGGACTTTGGTCCTTCCAATGTTTACTACAGTTCCTCTGAAAGAAAAACAGATATGTCAAAAAGATACTAAGAACTTGCCCTTTCTCAGTTCCACATAGCAGTAAGATTATTCGGATACCCAACAGTAATCCTGGAAACCAAAGGTGATTCTGGAACCCAAAGGTTTGCATGGGGAGGATGGAAAATTAAGCTTCAGTACCCAAAACGTATCTCAACTTTTGGATTAATCAATTATATATCATCTGTACTGCCCAAACATTGGCCTAAAATCCGTTTCCAACCCCTTCCCCAATTCGATATTAAATCATGTTCTCTAATTTATCTTTGTTTTCTCCTATTTATTTATTTATTTGTGATATTTATATGCTGTCCTATTGCAAAAGCCTCAGGACAGCTTACATGAATAAGTAAGAAATCCTATAAGAAATCGTTTCTAATATTTCGAGAGCTACAAATGTAGACTACTCAACAGTAATGATAATAAAAAGCTACTAAATGACTATGATGAATTGTAAACCAGATGCACTAGTATGAACTTATTTTGGCAGGGGAGAAAGCAATAGCTTTATCATGGCATTCTTCAAAATTAATTAGCTGTGCAGCTAAAAAGCAAATATAATATGAGTTTTATGAATGTATATCAAAGACTAAAATTTCAACTTACATTAATATATGTGTGATGTAGTGATGAGGAAGAAAAAATTATATAAATAATGCTAAAACTAATCTTAAATATTTTAATATTGAAGAAAGGAATAATATTTATATGCAACATCATACTTCAAAGCAAGCATAATCTCCAGCTATTAGAGCAAGAATAACAAAACCAATTTTTATATGATAGCACCAGCTGAGCTCATTTATTGTTCCAACCTGATTCTACTGACCATATATCATAATTACCCTTTTCCCCTGGAGCTATGTAAATGATTGCATTCAGTTGCATTCATATTTTTCACAAAATCAATGTGTTGTGGTATGGCATGGTAGTTAAACTGCTGGACTGAAGACCTGGGAGATCTGGGATCTGGTCTCCATCAACCATAAAACTCAATGAGTGGCTTCGGGCTAGTCACTGACTCTCAGCTAACCTACCTCACAGGGTTGTTTTAAGGATAAAACTGAGTGGATTGAGACTATGTAAGCCACCTAGGGCACTGTGCGAGGTGGGCTATAAATAACTCTCACAACAATTTATCAGTGTAGAATATGTGAACAGGTAGGTAGTTATGTTAAAGGACATCACAAAACAACCTGTTCTAAAACAGAACAGAGTACTGGAGTTGAAAGGAACCTGTAAGGCCACTGAGTCCAATCCCCTGCTGTTACCACCATATAAAATCTTCTGCCCTTATAATGGGCTTCCACGGGAGTGGTTGAAGCCCCATCAGTGAGGGTGTTCAAGAACAGGCTGGACATGCACCTGGTGGGCATGTTGTGAGGGGAGCCGGCAGGAGCCAGGGGTCAGACTAGGTGACCCAGGAAGCCCCTTCCTAGGTGGCCCAGGAAGTCCCCAGGAAGCTCTGTTTCTGTGTTTCCATAATAATGTTTCTGTCTCTTTATATGGATGTAGTTTTACCTTCAAATAGACTCATGCAAAAAGCCAACAGATATTAAAAGGTTTCACCAATGACTACTGTTATCAACTATTTAGAATGGTGGGACTCTCTTGAAAAGAAAGGTTCCCCTTATCTAGAGCAGGATTACTTAAACTGTTGCTGAGTTCTTAGGAAATGAGGGTAATGAAGGTAAACTTTTTATAACCACAGGGTAGGAGGCATCAAACTGAAATGTCTGCTTCTGCTTGGCTCTATACTTTTTTATAAACAAAAAGTAACAAAAAAGTAACAACATTTAACTGGGATCCAGCAACATGCTGCAACCTAGAAACTTATAGGCCAGTTCTATATTTCAACTATAAATTCAACTGTATTTCCTAGGATCTAGTCCCAGGTTAGTACACATTAGATAGTGACCCTAAGCTGCAACTCTAAAAACACGTACTGATCACTGTGGGACTTATTACTGGCAAACATGCTCTGGATTACACTGTGCGTCACTTTTACTCATAGCTCAGTCCAATCCAGTGATGTGTAAAATATTTCCAGGATTATTCTGCTTCACTAAGAAACAGCATTGTATCTATCAAAACAGACATATTTACAAGAGGGGATAATGTTCCTATTACAATACTAATTCAATCACTTCTAATTCAATCAAATTCTAATTCAATTCATATTCTAACCCTATCATTACTGGATACTGTTGACATTTTAATGAGGCAGACATAACGCAATTATATAAACAGAATTATGTATTTTCACACTTCAGAGGCAAAGAATAACATTTCACTATTCCCTGCATGTGTGTTTAAATGGTCTGCAACTGTGCAAAGCGTTTGGCCCCTGCTCACCTAGCATTCTATTAAAGGTCTGACTAAATTTCTTTTTTGCTGGGTGTTCAGCTATTGATCAGTCAACTAGGCTACCACACTAGTTTCATTCTGTATAGAATATACAGCATCTTTTATACCAAATCATCTGTTACTCTACATTTGTGATTTCACTCCTAAAGCTGGAAATCACTGATATTCACTGCATTGTATGCAATATATGTATTACAGAAACATGCAACTGCCACTTCTAAACAAGCAGTAAAACTGGTTGCAGATGAATAAGTTTTGTAGGTTTAAATATGTTTGTTCAAGTGCATAGTTATTCAAGACTAACAAAATTAATATCAGATTTTAAATGAATAAAAACAGCAAATAATATTTTTAGTATAGTATGATTTTATAGTGAAAAAAGACTTGGAAAATATTTTATATATTATAAAATTATGATTACATTGGAGCCTCATTTAAAAGAATGCCTTCTAAAATGTAGCTCCATTTAATATATAATGAATCATATTAATATCACATACCATAAACATCTACTAATGAATTCAAACATGAAGAATGAAATTCTTATGAGCAAACCTAGGCCATACACCTGCCTTGTAAATTGAGTCATACTGTCAAACAAATAGCTGTATTATTTCCATAAATGTAAATGACAATTCATTTCCTAGTGAATCAAACATATTCTATGTCATATACAGCACAAGTTCTCGTTAACATAATTCAGTTTAACTTTAGCAGGTTTTCTGCAGACCCTGAGCTTACCTTCTAACTTCAAATGACAAAACCTTCAGAATCAAAATAGCTGTTATCCAGACAAGCTCAAATATGACCTCAGCTGGACAGAGTTATAACATAGGTAGGTTTTCCTAAGCCATAATTTATATGCATCTTGAAAACCCAGGGGATCAGGATGGGGGTGGGGGTTAGAACAGTCACAGAAAACCACAATATTCCAATGAATCAAAAAGCCTTTGAAAATGGAAAATGTGCATACCAGAAGGCAATGCAAAAAGGTTGACAGGCATCAGGATGCAAGTGGAAAAATACATACTATACGTTGATGCACAAAAGCAAAGGGATATGCCACCTTGGGAAACATTTAACATTCTGAACTTAAGTGGAAAAGATTTGCTTTAGTGGATCAGACCAAGAAGCCTCTGTTTTCAACAGCAGCTATCCAAATGTCTTTAAAAACTTGCAAAAAAAGACATGAATATAAGGATCATCTCATATTATTTGTCACCAGTATTTGATATTCCAAGCTATACCGCCTCTGAACTCAGAGCTTCCATTTAACTTCCATGGTTATTAGCCATGCACAGACCTGAGCTGGACTCTGCTTCAGGCTTTATAAGCCGTCACGTCAGTTGCACCATAACTAGTGGAAGCACTGCCCTTTAGATTCAGACTACTGCTTTTAGGCATTAAAAAGTCATATTGCCTCTGCAATATGCTTTGTGGTCCAGAACTATCATTTACACATAACACTAAATTTTAAAAAATGGACAGAGTTACCAAGTACTTTGTGAACCACTCAGAAAGCTTCAGCTGTAGGGTGGTATAGAAATATTATTTATTTATTTAAAGTTTTTCTATACCATCATTCATTAAAAATCTCATGATGTTTTAAAATAAATAAAGTGTAATACTGAATCATTAACTGTTTCTGTTTTTATTTTCAACAAAGACCATATTTCACAGCCCATGCAGATAAAAAGATAATGACAGATTGTGAGTACATGTTTGTTATTCACAAACCTCAAATTTCATGCATATTATAAAACATCCAGCTGTTTTTACTCTGTTGCAGAAAATCAGAAGTTCCACTGAGTTTAATGGGACTTACTTGTATTTAAGTATGCAGAGATCTGCCTAACACTGTATTGAACACACCAGATCTTACTTCTGAGCACACATATAAAGGACTGTACTGTCCTGCAACACCTACCTTAAAGACTAACAAATTTATTATGACGTAAACTTTTGTGGACCAGAGTAGATATGTGAACATGGCTGGCAAGTAAACATGAAAGCTATGGAATTTAAACTATTATCTCTCTGTGTGTGTTATAATCTAGAATATAACTGGTGACTTCATTTGTGCTCTTTTTAGAACTATCTGTGTATATTTTCTGATCTTTCATAGGGCACCCATCTGTGCAGACTGCTGATTAAATAGATACACACCTGCTTAGCCTGAGTATGCTGCAGCATCTGCTGCTCCTAGACCATTCAGAATTCATTATGTAAACATTTTTCAGAGCATCAAGAAAAAGATCTAGCCCAAGGAATGAGATAATTGAGAATTTGCATTCAGATGCAGTCTACAGGTTAAATTCTGGGTGTTAGAAAAATTTGACTGTTTTCACCTGTTAAACCAGTACTGATGGGCACACAGCTAATATGTCACTAATCTCATTGTCAGTACTGCAGATCAGCTTAAGATAAGTTACATATCTGGAACATAATCAGTAAGATAATAAATGATTAAACAGCTTGATATTTAAATAGAAATGTACTGATCATTTTAAATGTTCATGATATGTTGGCAAATCTCCAAATATCATTAATATGTTTTTAAAACTGCATGTATGTGAGACCATGTATATGTGAACTCACATGTTCTGTCTTATGCAGCTGTGTCCAACGCAGGACCCAAAGGAATGGTACTTAATTTAGAATAACAGCCCATTGAATAGAATCCAGCTATATTATCTTTTGGGTGGTCAGTCAACAACACCATTCCATTGCAATATATAAGGCCTATTTCCCTCACTGCATAAGAAATACATGGCATCTGCCAGGGAATCATCCTTTGCAATGACGCTGTGTATGTGAAATTCACCAAGTGTACCCCAGCCGGGAAGCTGCAATCAGCAGTAACTTCGCAACGCACGTACTCCCAGCCAAATATGCACACGTGTTATGGTACCATGTGACAATCTACAGGCAGTTCTGATGCTTTTGTGTTGGGGGATTTTTCTCCTTTGCTTTTTTGCTCCCTGTGTGGAAGTTCTCTGCATGCAGGAAGTTGGGAGGTGGCCCTCTGCCCCTCCAGCGCCAAGGCAACCCGTCGCTTCATCGCCCGCTGCTGGCATTCCCCTCGACTTAACGATGCTCGGGCCATTCCCCCGGGCCTCGCTGCAGCCCAGTGGGCGCCAGTGCAGCCGAGAAGGACGCCTCGTGAACCGCTGCGCGTTCCCTCCAGCCCTCGGCGCGGGCATGGCCATGTCGCCTTTGGCAGGCAGCGCCGGCTTGTTTGCTCTGTGTCGATCCAAACAAGGGGTGGGATGCGGGGAGCGAGGACTTAACACCCATCCTGACAGGCTGATATTTACAAATGGGGCAGGGAAGGAGGGAGGGGGACGGGGGAGAGAGAGACCTGCAGCTTACCAGTCCGTGTGAGGCTCATCGATGACCAGGAGCAGCTTGAACTTTTTGGCTGCAGCTGAGGAGGACGAGCCGGCGTCTACCAAGCCCGCCGAGGCCGCCGTCTGCTTCACAGCGTTGGAGAGGGAGCTGAAGAAGCTGCTGCCCACTGACTGCTGCTGCTGTGGCGGCGAGGGCTGGGACGGTGGAGGCGCCGCTGGCTGCGTCTGCCTGCGCTCCGAGGCCGGGGAAGCCGAGGACGGAGCCGCCGAGGAAGACGAGGGTGGCGGCGGCGGCGGCTGTTGGGGCTCTGGCCGCTGCAGGTCGGTCATGTAGCCATTGGGCAGGTTAGCGATGAAGCTGCTGTCCGAAAGCCTGCGCCGCAGAAAGTTCATCATCTGGCCGCCAAGGGAGGAGGCACGACCAGCAGCCGGAACGGACGGGCGGGCGGACGGGAGACGCTGCCCGGGCGGAGGCTCTGCACGCCGTCTCGCTAGGGCGCGTAGCGCGGGAAAGGGCTGAAGTTGCCTCCGCTGCTCGCGCTCTGGAGCCGTCCGCCGCCGCGATTGTTGCTGCCGCCGCCGCCGCTGCTCCGCTTGTCCCGCCCTCCCGTCTGTAGGTGGCAGCCGCCCAAGCCTCCTCGCTTTGCTATGGAAATACACAGGCGGAGAGGCGGCGGCGCCGAGCAGAGCTGCGTCCGGCTTCGCTCGCGAGGTTAAGGAGCACCCCCAGGAAGGGCGGCGCTGCTACCCCCGGATTCTGCCCCGAACTCCTGTTTCGGCGGGAAATCTCCTCCTCGACCTCCTCCTCCACACGCACAGGAAAATCCCTCTCGGAAACACCCCGTCCTGTGCGTTTTACCTCAGTGATGCCATTTTCTAGGGAAATCTAACGTGGCAAAAGGAAACCCCCATGAGCGTCTAACGCTGTACAGGAAAACCTAGAGGTCCTCTCCGCTAAGGTTGCTGCCATCCGCCTCCAGCCATTTTGTTAGGGAAGCGCATCACTGGGATGAGAACTGAACCCTCTTCTATTTAATCTGGCAGCGCGATTTATTACGATGGTTGTACTATAAGAGTATAGCCCTATCATTTGTAAGCAATTGTACCGCCGAATATAATTGATTGGTCTTCGATATTAAAATGACAATAAAATACAGAATAAAGATGAACCAATCACAAATCAATATGTGTAGCTGGGTCTAGGAATGTTGGAAAAATGTGCAATGGATTCAAATAGGTTCAGATTCTAATGGTCCAACCTGCAGACTCCACAGTAAACCTACTGTGAAATTTCCTTCAGATTTATATAAATGTGCAGTAGTGCACAATTCCAGAAGTGAAAGAAGATTCACATTTGTTCGTTTTAAAAATCTGCTAATGTCAGTGAAAAAAACCAACACAGCAACAATCCAAATCACAGGAACAGAACAGATTTAACCAAATCTGTACATCCCTAGCCTAGTGCTAATTAAGGAGTTTCCCACCACAAGAGCTGCAATGTGATATGTTTTGCTCTTGACAGCCATAAGGTGAAGCATGTGGCGCTCTGGTAAGACCATAGGGACCCGGCTTCTGATAATCCTTGAAGTAACCTGATCCCAATGTGTTCAGGCCTTCATATTTCAGTAACAAAACCTTTATCTGGTAGCCAGTGCAGTTCTTTCACTGAACAATGCTGTCTCATGATTCACATTTATATTAAGGTCCCCTGTATCATAATCAAGACTGAACCTGTGCAAGATTCAGACTTGAGTTCGCTCTTGGACCTGGAGATGAACCTGGATGTCCAGGTTTTGGCAACGGCCAGGCGTGCCAGTTATGAAACCCTCTAGGCTTGAAACCCTCCTATTTAAACCTTGGTGGCTCTTAAGATATTCTGGAAAGGCCCTTCTGTCAAGACTTGGCCCTTCAGAGGCACATTTAGTGGCAGCCCAGGAGAGGGCCTTTTTGGTGGCCATCCCCAGGTGCTGGAACCCCCTCCGAAGAGAGAAGGCCAAGTTTGCTTCCTCTCTGCGGTCCTTTTGCTGGCAGGCAAAGGCCCTGGAAGTAGCTCTCTTGAATTTTAATTCTTTTCTGTTCTGTTTTAAAATTTAAATTACTATAGCTTAATATATTGTTTTATTGTATAATCCATAATGTTTTTAAGGTACTTCGGGTGTCCTATTTTTCACAGAAAAGCTGCATAGAAAGAAATAAAATAAAGTTGCATTTTCATGTATTCAAGAAGAGGCCTGCAAAGAGGCCCATGAAGAAAACAACCTTATTTTAGCATGTCACTTTCCCATGTTACATGTTTTTCTTAGATGAAGCACTAACAAGCAGTGCTGCATTAACCAAATGTTAAGCCACCAAATTATCTGAACAGTGTACAACTTAAAAACATAAACAACAGCAATAGAAGCAATAATAAAATAGGTAACATTAAAATAAGGTAATATTAGTAGCAGCATGCAGTGTGAAAAAGTGGCATTCTTATGCCAAGTTAAACTTCTGTAAGCTAGAAGATGGATACATGATGTTGTAAATACTATCAATCACTAGAATTCCTCCTCTTACTAGGTTCCTAGCTTAGGCTACCAGAATCCTATTATTATCCTCTGTTTAATTTTCTGATCAAACTTGGCAAAGGCATAACTGTGAGTCAAAGCAGCAGTCTCAAGCATCATTTGGAGCCAAATATCAAAAAGAGGGAAAGAGCCCTGGCTAGGTGTGGCATAGTCACTGGAGACTGTGACAAAGCTAGCCAAGATGACTAAGCACTCTGCTACTGCAAACACAACATACTGAAATCCATGAGTCAGGTCTATACGAAAAAATGGCATCCCGGTTCATGTTTTATCTTTTGACAATTGCCTTTCTTCCATTATTTCATTCTCACTTTAGGAAAGACCCAATCCATAAGGGCAATTATATGATAATTAAACAGAGGTAAAATTCATATTAGTGTGCTATTTTTATTAGACCAACCAAAAGTGTACCAAAAATATGCAAGTTTTCATGATCTCAGTTCTCTTCATCATATCTCTTTGTTTGAGATCTCAAACAAATCTGGAGATCTCAAAAGTATATGCATTTTTGTGATTTGTTAGTTGGCCTAATACAGATACTATTGTAATATGGACATGTGATATTTGATCATTAACTGATTATTTGTTCCTGGAATAACCCCCTGCCCAAACCAAAGGATGATGGACATCCTATGAAAGGGAAAAGTTGTACAGAGGCAAAAGTCACCTCCATGCTTCTCTTGCCCTGAAATAGTAGCCCATTTCAGCTGTCTAACTACTTTATACTAGAGCATGAGGAGGAGAGGAAGCTGAGGCACAATCTTGATACTGCATATGCTGGTGGAACCTCTCCCCTTTATACCCCCTTCCCCCAAAATCCCTTCTCCAACATTACTGTTATGACCTCAGAATCACAGCCAAGTCTCCACCCCAACCTTGGAGCAAGCTTCTGAGGATGGAGCTGGCCATTGCGACTCTGTCTAGCTGTCATGGGATTGTGCCCTGGTGTAGGTTAGTTTCTGTTCTTTACCATTTCAAGATTTCTGTTGCAAGAAGTACAGATGTGTACTGGTAAACTTCTCATTATATTTTATCATTTTGTTGTATTTTGTACTTCTGTAGCTCTTATAGGCTTATTAATTGTAAATCACTCTTACAGAAATTCCTTTAATAAATGATGTTGTTCTTATGTCAAGTCTTCTCCAACTTATGGTGGCCCTATTAGCAATGCCATCCCAAAGGACCTGTTCTTGAAAGCCTGTTCAGCTCTTGTAAACTCAAGGCTGGGGCTTCTTTTATGGAATTGATCCATCCATTATTTGCTCTTCCTCATCTTCTTCTGTCTTTGACTTTTCCTAGCATTATTGTCTTCTTCAGAGAGCCTTAACTTCTCATAAAGTGCCTGAAACATGACAGATTCAGTTTTGCCATGTGTGCATCACTAAATATATAACTAATAAATGTATACACATTGTAGGTAAATAAAGAAATGCATAAAGTAAACACTATTGCTATTACACATATTATAAGGTTTATCCCCCTCCCTCCCAACACTTTAAAGGACAGGTGCAAGTCACCTGCCAATGGCTGTGAATGCTAAGTAGCGTCAATATGTTTTTCCTAAAAGGGTATGTCAGCCATGAAAGTCAATTGCCCAGTCTGATCATGATGCAGTAGCAGCCAAACCCAATAAACATCCAGCTCTCTGAGATTAAATCCACTGCAAGAGGATTTTTAAAGAGTCACCATCTGGTAAATGTTCATGTGCATTCATCTAGAGAGCCAGTCAGGATCAATTGATCATTGATTCTTTATGGAGGTATATATCCTCTGCAAGGTATCCCAGGCTGGTCATTCACCAGTGCCAGCTGCTTCAATAGTTTTCTGAATGGAAGATTACTCTAAAGCTGCCTTGGGAAACTGACCGCAAGCTGATTGTTGCCAATAGTCTAAAGTTGCTCACTGCACTAAACTGCTTCATACATCTTTTTATATGCTGGTGATATAGAGCCCATTCCAATGACTGAACTATATGGGGTAAACATTATAACTCTAGGGTGATTCTCTGAATAATCCACTCAAGTGGAATGGAAAGTTTTACCATATATCAGGTACAGTTGTACAGAGAAGCTCACATCTGCTTTTGGTGTACCAGTTTTTCTTTTCAATTTGTATTTAGATATTTAGCTGTGAGCTGTGAGATATTTAGTCTGTGAGCCGTTCCGAGGCTATGTAGTAAGGGGACGGCATATAAAAACTTTAAATAAATAAAAATAAAAATTTAATTTATGACTGCCCTGGCAGCTTTCAGGGTAAAACACACATTAAAAGCAAATGCAGTTTTTAAAAATCTGCTTCATGACTCTCCTGTTCAATCCAAAAGTGATTTTCAAAATGCTGTGGTGGTGAAGGGGATGGGTGTGAATCAGCTAGCCTTCTCAGTGCTAGAACACCTAATGGAGAGGAAAGACGTCATTCCAGTTCTACTGAGCGTGAGGAACTGCTTTAAAAAGACCCCATAGAATGGAGATCTTAAGGTTTGGTTGAGAGCTGATTCTACAGAACCAGATGCTGCTGTTAAGTATTCCAAGAATAGCATGTAAGATTGCTTGGCTGTACAAGATACGTAACAGATGACCATTATACTCAGCAAGGCCTCCAATCACTTCCATTCCAATTATTATTGTTACTTTTATTTCATGTTTACCTTATTCTTTCCTAAATGAGCATAAGGTAGTGTTCATATCCTCCCGCAACCCCACACACAGATATTTATTTTCACAATAATCCTATTGGGTAGGATATGCTGAAAAATTAATGACTGGCCCAAAGTTACTCAGTCAGTTCATTCTGTGTTTGAATGGGGACTGAACCCACGCTTTCTCAGTT